TTGTCGAAATCAAGAATTTTCTCTTGTTTGGGATAGTACCGCGGCATAATGACTAAAAAAAAATTTTAGGAGCACGAAACTATCAGGAAATGTTGAAAAACTATTGTGTTGTTGAAATTYTGCACGAAAAATCACTTATACACGTCAAATATATGAAGTTAGTATGTCAAATGTAAAATCCACCGCTCATATTTGCAAAATGGCGGTGGATAATGAACACAATGTAAATTCGTGCAAAATTTCTTTTGTGTGTCGAAGGCTAAAGGCTCAACTAATATTATAAACATATTTACCTGGATGACTTTATTGGAAAATGTGAAAAAAGTCAACTGTACACAGAATTGAAAAAAAACTTTCGGAGTGTCGAATTTCTTTTTGTTGTCGCAGAGAGGTTATAACACGTGTTCACAGCTCGTGTGCTATATAGAAACTGAGCTTAGTATGAGACGAGCCGATGACAGTTGGTTGCAGCTGTCAACCTATACTTGGGAAAAAAATATCGCGCTTGCCCAACATTCCCCACCTTCCTATCAGTTTATATGAACACTTTCAAGTTTTTTTAATCACTATTTAAATATAATATAATTTACCAAGAAAAACCTATTCTTATACACATTGATAAATTAAAGTCATGTTTTCTGTTTAGTCAAAGTATTTCTGTTATCTGTTTATAAACCGAAATCGCTACCCATCAGATAACTGATAATATAAGCCAACTGAAAGAAATATTGTTAATCTTACACATAATATTAGAGTGGAGTTACATTGCAATCAAAAAATCGTGCGAAAATGTGTGGTAGTTCTGAGCGAAAATTATATTCTTTGTTCAAAATATCTTTTCCTGGATACACAATCCTAAATTTTTAAATTAAGCATGCCGTACTTTGAATGAAGAAAACCGAAAGACATACGTCTGCCGTGCTCAGAAAATTAACTTTCAAACCTCAATGCTCTTAATTTAATTATCTTTTCAGATGGAAATTTTTTTAAGCTATTTTTTTTTCTTCGTATTGTTCTTTTAGAACAAGATTCTTACAACCATCTTTAAATACTTAGAGAAAACCAACAAGTTACATACAAGAAGCTTTCCAAAGTAAACAGGACTTTAAACAGAAAAAAGAAAAAATGTTTTTTTAGAAAAAATCAATTTATTTTATTTAAAATAGCTCCTTCTGCTTCAATGCAGCTCTTTGCACGGTCTAAAATCATGTCGAACGAGTGTTTTAACTCATTTGCCGGTAAGGCCACCAGTGTGCCGGTGCAAACATGGCCTCTAAGTCTCCATAATGCTTTCTTTTCATGGGAAAACGCATTCTTCCGAAAAGGAAGAAGTCTCACGGTGCCATACCAAGTGAACACGGGCAGTTAATGATTAATATGTAATTTTCGGTCAAATAATCGGCCACAAGCGTCGGTCGATGAGAGCAATTTTTGGTCGTCAGTCAATTTGTCTTTAACAACCCGTGCACACATCTGTCGTAAGCCCAAATGTTTGGTCAAAATGCGACAAATCGATGTTTTGGAGATGTTAAATTCTATTTCCATGAATCTCAATGATGATTTTGGCTGATTTTTGATGAATTCACCCACAGTTTCGATTGGAATTTATGTCTTCACGGCCACTTTGAAAACGTTGAAACCTGCTGCAGAATAGGCAATGATCGCCATAAACTTGTTTCATCAATAGAAAAATTTCGGTAAAAATTTTACCAATTTGGAAACAAAATTTTGTTCGAAGCTCATTTTCGCTTTCGCTTTTACTTATTATGCAACGTATTTTATTATTTGATTTTAACATCTGTTGCAAACGATTTGCCACTTTTATAAAATAGCTCTCTGCATACGTTTCAGAAAGTTAGTGGAAAGGTTCGAGAAATCACAGACAAAGTTCTAATTAAATATCCATTTTTGATATCATAATTTATTTAAATGGTTTAAGCAACATATTGGTTCGTTTGTCAACAGTACTTAAAACATTATTAATATTCTGTAAAAATGACATCCTCTATTGTTGCAACAGTTTCGTTTGTTCTTAAACTATAATCTGCTTTAACAGGCCATCAAATTTAATGTATGTTATTAATTTTCATTTAATGTTTGAAATATTTGTTTCAATACGTATTCAACAATTTTAACACTTATTGGTTTATTCCTTCTAATGAAACTACTAACGTGCAACTGAAAAGCTGTTGCTGAAACTCCTAAATCATAAATTCTTATTTAGAAAAAAACTTAAGCTATAATAAACATGTTTACTATTTTTTTT